GTTCCAGGATGGGCTGGTGGCGTTACGCGACACGCCTAAAATATGGTCTACATTTCATGCTGCTGAATGGTAGCAATACTCCGTTAAACAATCGTGGCGTTTTACGAGAATGGCAAGATGATAATGATGGCTTCTTCCGTTACTTCCGCGTGGGCGGGGAAAGGCTGACCCCTGCTCAAACTGCGCAGAACTGACCCCCCGCCCCACTTACCTTCCTAGCGGGCCGATTCAAGGGCAGTCGGAACAAATATCTGGGATTCCTGAATCCCAGATTCCATAATACTCTATGCTACAATCGAGCATGTCGGCTTTGAAATCCCAGCGTGCACCAAAACATGGGCTTGGAAATCCAGCCGGACGGGATGCTGCCCCCAGCAACGTAAGATGATCACATATAACTCCGACACGAAACTTTCGGAACGCCGATGCTGGATCCACGGAGGCGACGCATCATCAGATCGTTCCAGGTCGTCGCAACCAGCGCCGCGCATCATCCGCCATGATCGCACTCGCACCCGCGCGAAGGCCCACTACTTGCACCACCATGACCGCGGCCTTTGGCTCAGAGGCACCGCCTTGGCCGCGGGGTGCCTGCAATACCGCTGAGGAATTCACGATGGCGGCGCACCATCGTCATCACCACCACCACCATCATCATCATCATCAGCATCATCATCATCATCAGCAGCATCATCACCATCAGCAGCATCACCATCATCATAATCATCAGCATCACCATCATCATCATCATCATCATCATCAGCATCATCATCAGCATCATCATCACCATCGTCCTCATCACCATCATCATCATCAACATCATCATGATCATCATCATCATCATCATCATCAGCATCATCATCATCATCATCATCATCATCGTCATCATCATCATCATCATCAGCAGCATCACCATCCCCATCATCCTCAGTCCCTGCCATCGCACTCAAACGCCGCGCATGATTCGATACGATCGCCCTCGCGCGCGCGCCCAGACCATCTGCAGTCACCGCCGTGGCCGCAGCCCCCGGCCCAGTGGCGCGGCCTCGGCAGCGCGGTGCCTGCAGTACCGCCGAGGCAACCACGATGGCAGCGCATCATCGTCGTTTCCTCGCTTCCTGTCGTCGCACTCGGCACCGCGCATCGTCCGCCATGATCGCGCTCGTGCCCGCGCGAAGGCCCACGACCTGCACCACCATGACCGCAGCCTCTGGCCCAGAGGCACCGCCTTGGCCGCGGGGTGCCTGACACACCGCCACGCCGTCACAGCAGTTCGTGACGATTTGTGCGAACGTCAAGAGGATGCGGGCTTCGTCCGTCACTTCCGCGTGAGCGGGCAGGCAAAGGCTGATCCCTGCCTCTGCGAAGTGCCCCCGCTTTCTCCCTTAGATTCTTGGCGGGCTGAGTCAAGATCAGCCGGACCAAGAATCTGGAGCCTACGAATCCAGGACTCCATCTCAATCGAATACGCTACATTGTTAGATCTGTGCGTTTTGAAATCCCGACGTTCACACAAAAACACACGGAAGATAACCACGCGGACATGTCGCCTAGCAAAACTTCTGTGCTGCGCAACTGCTGTTAGAACATCCGTGACTCCACGCAACATCCGTAACCCCTCGCAACTATTGAGCAGGGACCAACCGTCCCGGCATTCCTATAGGCCTACCACGACATGTTCTTAGAACCCAAAAAGGTTCTAAGAACAAAAACAATGTTCTTAGAACAGATTCCCGATGTGTAAAAACAAGACAGTCCCAGCCAGAAATGTTCTAAGTACATTTCGTGGAAACCACAAAAGGTTCTCACAACTTTGATTCACAGGCCTAAGGCACGCCAGAACGCTTCGCCATTGCTTGAAAACTACGGTCGGAAATGTTAGCATGGCGTGTCGCGGCGGCGGCCTCGGCGACACGCTATGCCTTGCGAGTGGATAGCGTGTCGCTCCGCTCCTCGGGGCGGGAGGCTCGGCAAAGGCTCGGGACGTTAACGCCTGGGGACTGGGAAGTGGACAGCGTGTCGAGCCGAGGCGCGGTGAGCCAGAGCCGGCGGAGCGACACGCCATCCAACCGTTCCCGACCGCATGTGGTGCGCAACCGTTGTCAGTCAGAACATCCGCAACCCCGCGCGACATGCGCAGCCCCTCGCAGCTAACGCGTCGAACCACGAATCCCGGATCGATCCGCGCCACGAAAGCATGTTCACAGACACCCGCCGAAGATATCTGCCTGTACCTTCGGATGGCGGTGTACAAGGTCGCTGGCTCCCAGTCGTGATGTGTACGCTGCCCCCCCCCCACCCGAAGCCCAGAAACAGTCCATTGGCGGATGACTGTGCGTGCTGCGGCTTCGGTCGCCGCCCTCGCCCTCCTCCGCCTCGTCGCCGTGCGCGCGAGGCCGCGACCGCCAAACCGTCTCTGCGTGTGCTCCTGTGGCGGAGCGTCGATCGGCCCCCGGGGGGGGGGGGAGGGGGCGCAGCCCCTGCCGCCCCCCCGCCCCTCCACGGCGGCCGACGTCGGGGTGAGGCCGGCGTCCCGCTCCTGCTGGAAGGAGCGGAGCACCGCCGCCCTCGCCAGCTCCTGCGGGGCTGGGGAGAGGAGGGGGCGGGGGGCGGCCTCTGCTGGCAGAGACAGCGGCAACGAGAGCCCCGAGCCCGCGCCAGGGAGGCTCGAGGGAGGAGAGGGGCGGAGGCGGCGGCATCGGGGGGGGGCGGGCCTGCGCCTCGTCTGTGCCTCTTCGGCGGACGGACAACCTCCTGCGCCCCCTCGTTACCTATCCTCCTCCTCGTCTGCGCCTCCTCCTCCTCCTCCTCCTCCTCCTCCTCCTCCTCCTCCTCCTCCACCCCTACTCCGTATACGTAGCTCCTCTCTGTCGCACCCGCGGACGTGTCGGCAAGGCGGGCCAAGCGTTTCGCAGGAGACGTCCTCGCCGCTTGTGACTCGGAAGCGTGGTATCGGCACCAGCTTCACGGACGGAGGGCGGGTGGTTTTCGACATGTACCTCTCGCCTTGGCGCCGCGCACACTCGTCTTAAAAGTTTGCAGCCATTTCACGGAAGGAGGGATGGAGAGCGGGTCGTTTTCACAATGTGGCTCTCGCCTAAGCGCCGCGCGCATTCGTCTTGCACGGATGCAAGGCGGCTCCTTTTCAACATGTGGCTCTCGCCTTAGCGCCGCGCACATTCGTTTTGAAGCTTGCAGCAGTTCCTGGCACGATTGAGGAGTGTCAGGGCACAACTGCCACGTTGATACGCGGCGCTGAAGTCCCAGAACTACATTCTGGCACGGTTTAGGACTGTCAGGACGCAATAGTCACGTTGAATCGCGTCGCTGGATTCTCCGGGATCGTGCTCTCAGTCGGACGGTTGCCTTCCAATTGGGCCCTTCCCGCAGTGAAGCGAAATCTTGTAGGAACCAATGGAGGGGGAACTTGGAGGGAGGGTATACTGCAGCATCGCTGGAGCGTCTTGGGTTTGCACTGGTCCTCATGGCACCCGATGGCATAAGAGATCTCCGATCGCTGCCAACGCCCCCCCCCGCCCCACCGTCTGCTGCGAGGGGAGCGTTTCATGGAAAACGGCACGCACGGCCGACGGAGGTGCCGGCGAGCGGGACGAGAAGGAGACAGCACGGGCGACGGCACCTCTCCTCCTGCTCTTCCCGCCTGCCCGCGGCGTGGTCGCCCCCTCTGTGAGCGTTGTCTTGTTCGGCGTTTCGACATTGGGCGGCAAGGGGGGGGGAGGTGGGGGGGTCTGGCTCCAGACCTCTGCTGAGGGCGACTGTCTGCAGGAGTGCGGCCTCTGCATGGGGGAGGCTCCACCCGCTCGAAGCTGGCGCCAAAAAGCAGCCAAGATCTACTCCATGGGGGATGGAAGGGGGGGGGTGGGGGCCCGCGCCGATCGGCAAAACAATGAATAAAACATTTAACCAGTGCGACCCTACCTAGGAGCTGGAGCCTCTAGGAAAGCAACATTAGTAGGAGCGGTAAACGCCGTCCTCCTCATTCTCCTCATCGTCGTAGTTGTAGCAGTAGCGGTAGTAGTAGTAGTAGTAGTAGTAGTAGTAGTAGTAGTAGTAGTAGTAGTAGTAGTAGTAGTAGTAGTAGTAGTAGTAGTAGTAGTAGTAGTAGTAGTAGTAGTAGTAGTAGTAGTAGTAGTAGTAGTAGTAGTAGTAGTAGTAGTAGTAATAGTAGTAGTAGTAGTAGTAGTAGTAGTAAAAAAAAGTCGTAGTCGTAGTCGTAGTCGTCGTAGTAGTCGTAGTAGTCGTAGTAGTCGTAGTAGTCGTAGTAGTCGTAGTTCGTAGTAGTTCGTAGTAGTTCGTAGTAGTAGTAGTAGTAGTCGTCGTAGTAGTGGTAAGTAGTAGTAGTAGTAGTAGTAGTAGTAGTAGTAGTCGTGTAGTAGTAGTAGTAGTAGTAGTAGTAGTAGTAGTAGTAGTTAGTAGTAGTAGTAGTAGTAGTAGTAGTAGTAGTAGTAGTAGTTAGTAGTAGTAAGTAGTAGTAGTAGTAGTAGAGTAGTAAGTAGAAGTAGAAGTAGTAGTTAATAGTCGTAGTAGTAGTCGTCGTAGTAGTATAGTAGTAGTAGAGTAAGCAGTAGCAGTAGCAGCAAGTAGTAGTAGTAGTAGTAGTAGTAGTAGTATAAGTAGCAGTAGCAGCAGTAGTAGTAGTAATAACAGTAGTAGAAATAGTAGTAGTCGTAGTAGTAGTAGTAGCAGTAGTAGTAGTAGTAGTAGCAGCAGTAGCAGTAGCAGTAGTCGTAGTAGTAGTAGTAGTCGTAGTCGTAGTCGTAGTCGTAGTAGTAGTCGTAGTAGTAGTAGTAGTAGTAGTAGTAGTAGTAGCAGTAGCAGTAGCAGTAGCAGTAGTAGTAGTAGTAGTAGTAGTAGTAGTAGTAGTAGTAGTAGTAGTAGTAGTAGTAGTAGTAGTAGTAGTAATGGTAGTAGTAGTAGTAGTAGTAATAGTAGTATCGCCAGAACCGCCGACGCCACGCCGTAAATGAAGCAGTTGCAGAAGCAGGCAGCAAGTCGCCGAGACAGCAGCAAAAGCAAGCAGGCACGGAGATGAGGGCGGGGCACTGGGGAGCTCTTTACATCTACATCTATATCTACACCTACATCTACATCGACACCTACATCTACATCTAGACCTACATCTACATCTACACCTACAGCTACATCTACATCTACACCTGCATCTACATCTACATCTACATCAACAGCGAGACTCACATCTACATCTACATCTATACCTACAGATACACCTACATCTACATCTACATCTACACCTACATACACACCTGCACCTACACCTACATCTACATCTACGTCTACAATTTCGCATTGGTTTTGCTTTTGCTTTGCATTGCCTAGTGGATGCTGTACTGCGCTATGCTATGCTATGCTACGCTCTGCTATGCTCTGCTCTGCTCTGCTCTGCTCTGCTCTGCTCTGCTATGCTATGCTATGCTATGCTATGCTGCGCTGTGCTATGCTGTGCTGTGCTGTGCTGCGCTATGCTACGCTATGCTCTGCTATGCTATGCTGCGCTATGCTATGCTATGCTGGGCTATGCTATGATATGCTGGGCTATGCTATGATATGCTGTGCTGTGCTATGCTATGCTACGCTAGGCTATGCTATGCTGTGCTCTGCTATGCTAAAGCTCAGCGAAGCTAAGATGAAGGTAAGGTAAGCTAAGATAAACCTGAACTAAGATGAAACTAAGCTAAGCTAAGATGAAGCTAAGCTAAGCTAATATTAGATAAGCAACGCTAAGCTAAGGGGACGTAACTGGGGGAACCGCGGGGCGGATCCTGGGGGAACCACCTGGGGCGAGCCCCACTGCCCGGCCCCTTTAAGCTCAGAGAGTAAGAACCCTTCTAGGCAGAGCCTAGGTAGGGAATTAACACCTTTCTTTCTCAGGGCGAGCGCCCTGGATCGGGATTGCTGTGAGTCCACATGTCGCGTAAAGTGACTAGCTTGCAATACGAATGCCGTGGCCATGTTGATGCTGGCCACTGCCATGTCAAATGCCGATTTTAGAACCGGGAGAAACGGCATAAACATAAACTGTTGGAGGCCCGCGCAGATTTCTTGGATCCGCGCTGGACCCCCCTCCCTGGCGCGCGGAGCGCGCCAGGGGCGGCGCCGGAGGCGCCGCAGGGGGGTCGCAGCGCGGATCCGAGACATCAGAGCGGAGCGCGAAAAGATGTTTACCGAGTTTTCGAAATGCGAATGCCGTTGCCATGTTGATGCTGGCCATTTCCACTTCAAATGCCGACGCGGCGTCGCTGGCAAAAAGCAACACATCAAGTGTCCAATCGCAGTACGGCTTGAGGAGCCGGGCGGCACCCATCCCCACCCTCTCCTCTGGCTCATGGACAAGATCCTGCGCCTTGCACGTCTGTTGATTTTTGTATACACCCCCCGCGCCCCCAATTAAATATTGGCGGGCTGCGCCGCGGAACAGTGGTGGCCAGTCTACAAGAAACCTTCTACAAGAAAAGCAACCTGGAGACCCAAGAACGTCATTTTTTGTTGGTATGGCACTGTCGCGCCTTCCACACCAGAACCATTGAAACCCAAGAAACCCAGGGCACCCTGGAGGCAAGCAGGGTGTTTCTTGGCATGGGCCTCCACTGTGTGTCGATCTGCCGACTGGCCGAAATCCTGCGCCCCGCTGGCGATGCCAACCAACATCGAATCGGGGACAGAGGGGCGCGTTGAGGTTCTGGCCTATGCAACCGTCGCACGGGTGTTGCAAGATTTTGTCCATCATCCATTCCTTTTCCGGGGTTTCCAAAGCGGTGCGGTGACAGACCGTGCTGTGGCCTCGAAATCCCCAAATACCCAACGGCACGGTCCGTCACCGCACGGTTTTGGGACCCTGGAGGCCCCAGTCGCCCGAGACATCCTCGGAGAACGACCCAAGTCCCAAAACCGAGCGGTCACCCCGAATCCCCACTGACTCACCACACGGTGTGGTCACCGCGCCGCTTGGGGGCCGCCGATTCCTTGGAAGAAAAGAGCCAAACATCCGAACCGCGCATTCTTGTTCAACCTGAGCGTTTTTCATACCTTTCGGCCTTAGGGGGGTCGCTTTCGGGCAGTCAAGAGTGGATCCGGGGTGGAAAAAGGGTCCCTGGGGAATGGGTCTGTCCGGAGCTCCGGGGCCGCGGGTTGGATACGTTACATCGTCGGAGGTCTGCGCACGGGATAAACAAAGAACTGTCACCAGTCCGCGCGGATTTCTTGGGCCATCTCTGGCCCCCCCCCACCCTCCCGGGCGCGCGGAGCGCGCCAGGGGCGACGCCGGAGGCGCCGCCACGGTGTCCCGTGCCAATCCACGAGATCCGAGCGGACCGCCGAAAGCTTGTGTTCATGCATTTTGTTATTCATCGAACCCTCCTCCACCTCCCCCCCCAGCCTCGCCGACATCCCCCGCCTCTATCCGGGGACCCGCCTTCTCCTCCTCCTCCTCCTCCTCCTCATCATCATCATCATCCTTCCCTCTTCCTTACGAACAACTCCTTCCTGTCGCATCCCCAGACGTGTCGGTAGGGCGGGCTGGGCGTTTCTTTTGCAACAGTT